AACAAAGTCATGTGCTTTGTCTACTTCACGTTGTATGGAATGATGCTTGTTGCACTCACTCCAAACTACCACATTGCTCTAGTGTCATGGACACTACTTGTTGTTTGTTGCAACGAAGATCCAATTGACTTGTAATACAAACTTATGGTTAGTTTTGATGGTTTTTAAAACTTATGGATATAAATCATATTTTTCTAAACAAGTGAAATATGTTTCCCAAATATTATGACCAAACACATGGTGAAATTTCACCCAAATTTTCACTCAAATAATATTTGCCAAAAATATTTGAAAATATATGGCCAAACGCTAGCTTAGTTTGAAATAAAGTCCTTTGTAGGATTATAGACTTAATCCTCCCCTAAGGAATTAGTCTAAACAGGTAGTAGAGTTTGTAAAGAGTATGAAAGAATTATAACACAACTTTCACCATAAGAAAAAATGAGTAGAAGTTGTGGGAGATCATCCTCGTCTTCACTTATGAAACGTCATTGATCCTTTAACCAGACTATGTCAAGTGGCATAGCAAAAATAGTATCAGTACAAACAACACTTACTGAAAGAAATCATCAGTCGATCTGAATCCACTACATAATATCATGCATATTATTAAAAACATGAAACTTCGAGATATGACCACGACACATAAATCACCATTCTTACTATAAGCAATATTACGTTTGAACTCATATTCTCTATCTCAAGTCACTCCACCTCATTATGTTGCAAACTCCATCATCTTAGTCATTCCACCCTCATAACTGATCATAGCCTAACCCTTTTACCACATAGAAATTTCTCGAATACAGGATCGCTACTAACTCTGTTAATCGGTCTACTACTTACCTTCAAGTTCTCATGCTGACATCCTGATTTAAAAACCATCCAAGACATGTTAAAAAACGTAACCACCACCCAAATTTGATTCTTTACACCTATCCGATAATCCAGACCCCCTAAGAATCCCTAAAATATCGATACAATATTTAGTATGCAATCATGGTCTTCACATGGACCACCCCAACATTTAGATACACCAATTCATCCACCCAGGGACCAATATGCAACAATCACATAACGAAGAAGTTAATTTGGTTATCTCATAGAACCTACACACAAACTGTTAATTAGTGTCCAGACGTGGTATCCGTGCCAACGGTTAGTATTTATCGGTATGGTACCTAAACCAACCACATATGAATATCCATGTATCAGGTGTGGTACCCGAGTCAATCGTTAGTATGTATCAGGCGTAGTGTCTGAGACAACCGTGTGATATCATGTATCAGGCATGGTACCTTGAGCCAACCAACAATCACACATCACAATCACAATCATAATCAATACAAATCACATTTGTACACTAAGTAAATAGATTTGTTGCATGCAATTGATAACAATATAACATAAGGGATCAAACAACCAACAACTGCCCGAAAAGATTTTTTACTAAATGATTCGTGATCATAATCCAATTACCCACAATCACTTTTCTCAGATTAATAACCAACACATCCATCCTCGGCCTAAACTACAATTAACCACAAATTCAATCATCTAGTCTTCGTGCCCGAATTCCTATACGTGCAGTCCCTCGACAACCTACAAGATAATATGTAAATAAAGACATGTCTAACTACCCAGTTAAAAGGCCAAGCACATCTGAGCGCCAAGCAATTGCTGAAGAACTCTAACTGTGAATTTTCGGCTCTCAGAGGTGAATCCTTGACAGGCGTAGACCGAAAATTCATGAGTTTTAACTTTCCTTGCACTAAAATCCCTCCCCTACATGGTTCCCCATCTTAGAGTTGCTTAAATGTTTTTTTAGAGTAACTATCGTCTATTTTACCGATGTAAAGTGGAATGAGAATAAAAGAATTCATGTTCTTAGAGTCTGACGTCAGCCTTGCTCAACTCAAATTAATAAATTTTCATCGTATACCCAATTTTTAAATTCACAACGTATTTCAAGAATTTTTGAAATTTCGTATAAGATGCCTTTTGAATAACAATGAATCATGTCATTACAGTTCCGCTCCACATTAATTGATTTCTTATTTTTAATTTGTTCCACTCTTGCTCCACATTAATTCGTCTCCCGTAAATTCGCTTCACATAATTTACTATTTTTTATAAAATGAAAATAAAAACTCTAAATTAAAGTAATTTTTTCAAGTGATTACTAGTTGAGAAAGAAAGAGATCAGCTTTAGATCAATCAAGATTCAAGAATGAAGTGAAGAATGAAAAAATTGAGTTGTTGATGTTTTGCAAATATTAAAAGTTTTTGTACAAAGTTATTAATAATATAAAAGTTAATAGTGTATCTTTCATATTTTTACAATCTGTGTATAACTTGCATATATTTTTACACTTTCTTTGATCAGTTTTTTTAATTAAAATTTCTTAGTTATATTTTAATCGCATCACATACATATAATTCTCTGTATTATACACTTGATTAATTCTTTTAATTTTTTATAATACTATTTTTTTATTTTTTGATAAAGAATACTATTTTTTTATTTAAACCCACATAAAATAGATTTGCAATTTGTTTCATCCCACATTATGTTTAAAAAGTATTATTTGAATCTGCCTCACCCCCACATATTCTTCAATTTGCTTCTCCCCACAAAGCCTTAAACCCTCACCATCCCACTCCATTGCCATTCTTATTTTCATTGCCTATTTATTACATTATTTTATTATCTTTATTAGAAGTACTATTTTTTTTTAAAAAGAAGTTATTTTCTTATACATTTTTAACTACAAATAACACCAATTCAAACATTTGCTTGACATGATCCAAACACGTCATTAAAATTAGGTTATAACTTATAAGTGTAACAAAATTAATAACATACTCATAGACTCATAGTCTAAAAGCTATCCAACTTGATCAATTTTTTTCTCTTTTTGAAAATCAAAAAATATTTGAATACATACATTCACAAAAATGTTTTCATCCATATAACTATTATATTTTTTGTAGAAATGTATCTAATGCTGCAATTATAAAACTTTATTGTCATCAATGATTTTAAGAATATATTTTTTTCAATCAATCGTTTTTTAAATATAAACTTAAAAAATAAAATAATATATATGTAGCACCAATTATATTTAAAGTAGATTTGTTAATGTCATCAAACTCGAAATATCAGTCAAACAAAAGCAAGATCGGAAACTTATGTGTTATAGAAGATCTCGAGATCTCCGTAAACTGTTACTCCCTCTGTCCCATATTAGTTGATCAGTATACTAAAAAAGTTGTCTCATATTAGTTGATCACTTTACTAAATCAAAAAAGCATTAATTAAATTTTTCTTATATTACGCTTGCAATTAATTCTTTTTGAAAGTGTTCACATTTCTTTGTAAAAAAATTTAAGAGGTGAATTAGTAAACTTATCTTCTTATTTATAATTTCTTAAGCATCATGCTAAATGAAAATCGATCAACTAATATGAGACGGAGAAATACTTAACTATGGTTGTATAATATCAATAAATTCATAGGTCTTGTCTAAGACACCAAAATCTCAACTCTTTCACTCCTCTAAACTGTTCTCTGCATTTGTTTTCAAAATAATAATTAAAAAAAAATCAAAAAGTCGTGTGATTTGTTTTACCATTTAAGTTTACCAAATTCTGACCAAGGGGTTAAATTTTTAAGGACATATAAAAACTATGGGCTCGGGATAATTTTTTTGGTTGTTTATATTTCTATTAAACTAACATTTCTCTTTCTTGATTTTTTTTTATTATGAACACATGATACTAACAAACTTAAGAAATTTAATTTTTTTATATTTTGTTTGTGGAGGTGGAAAACCTATGTGATTTTTTACTACCTCCGATTATGAAGATTAAAATCTATAAAAATAAATATATAAATTAATATTCGATTTAAAGATAAAAAAAAATTCATTGTTTATTAAATTTGATTAAGAGAACATAAGGTTAACAATTGGTTTGGTGAGCACCGGACGAAACAAACAATCAAATTGGACCAAAATATTTATAGCTAAAAAAAGTGAGAAAATTATAAAGTTTCCATAGGAAAAAAAATATAACTTTTGAGATATTAATTACAACAAAATTTCTATACATTAATTTGTTGTCTAACCAAAGAAGGGAAAGAAAGGTTCATTTCACTTGCCCTTTTTTCTTCGATCCTTACTTTATTTCATTTCCTTCTAATTTGTAAACACAGCGTAAACTTTTGTTTGTTTATTATTAATTATACTTATGTCAAATACACGTACCATCCCAGTTTGCCATTAAAAATATAAACAACAAAATAGTACATTTTGCTTATTAATTATTTTATGTTCCCTTTAATGACTCTTTGATTAAGCCATTGACAAGTCTTAATTAATGAACAAAACTTTTGAGTCATCAAAACTAATACTTAGCTTGTTATTGTGACAAAGACTAAACTCTAAATGGAGCAAATGGACCAATAGAAGCTCAAAACTTGAAGTAGACTATTGAAAAAATATATTTCCTTATAATGCAATTAAGGGACCCCTCTAGAATAAAGTTTCTCTCAACTTAAAAATTATTATTTCATCATTACAACCAAGTCCCCTCGTGTAACAATTATGCTAAACTATTTCAGGAAAACTATATTCCAATATCAATAATTCAAGATGTGCTTGCAAGTATTTGCTTCTTTTTTCTATTAACATATACTCCAAATGTTGTTTTATTCGAGAGTAACTCAAATAACAAGTCATAGTATTGTATACTCCATTTACTATTTGAGAACACTACAAGAGTAAATATCACTTAACTTTTTTAAGAAAAAAAAATACATACCCAAATTTTACACCTTCAGTACTTAATATTGTATTATTTATATATTTGTAAAAATCATGTTAGAAGTTTTATTTTCTATGGTTTCTTTTAATTGTTTTAAACTATTAATGTCCTTTTATAATTTTTGTGTTATTATACTATGACATAATAGATTAAATTTTAAAGATCCATAAGGCTTACGCCCTGTGCTAAGTAAAACACCATGCCTCACACGCCCCTACCTTTTAAAACATTGATACTCAGAATTCTATCTCCTCTCATACTGCTCTAAAAATCGCAACAATGTTCTGAAACTTGAATTTTCATATGGCCGTAGCCGCTACTCTTTGGGTGCGCATAGGTAAAACCTCCGCTCTTATACAATAGCTCGCAAACCACGCAGGAGAAGTAACTCGCGCTAGACAAGCCCGCGGCTCCTATGAATTTTCATTGGCTTTGTAAAATCTTGGATGAATTGTGTCACAAAATCCATGCAACAACATAGTGAAAGCTTAAATTCCCCAAGGACAAAGATTACTCTATCAAAGCCCGTCTTTTTTTATTTCCCAAATTCTGCAATTTTCTAACAAATAAGTAACTTGAAGAATAAGGGATGTCAATTTAGGGAAAGAAATGAGATAATAAAGAAGAGGGGGTCATAGAAAGTGTAAAAAGTACAAGTGATTGGTAGAGTGGCAACTTCTTCTACAAGGAGAGAGGTATGATAGAGACGTAACACCAAGTGAAAAAATTGTGAAAGTAATAAAATGTAATGAAATGAATGCATGATTTGTCTACAAGGCATATAGCAAATGTTTACAAGGATAGTGACCCTAACTTCACCCTTTGTCTAAGCAAACTAAGACCCCTTTTCTCTTAGTGTGTGTCTCTCTTATTTCTCACCCCCCATTCATTTTTACCTACCATGAACTTCATCTATTCCCTCTTTTCATCATGGGATGGCTTCAATCCCTCTTCTCTCCATTGAAGAAGCTTTGGTTTCGTCTTCACTCTGCTCCGAAGAAGAGTATGTCTTCCATTACTTCTATTTATATTCTCTTCACTTTTATGTAGTAAAGTTTTCTTTTGTCAAAGAATTTGTATGTATACTAAGATAACTAGCTCTCATTAGCACAGACGGATCCTGAATCTAGACGTTGTGAGTTTTGGGATGTGTTACCTCCATTCTTAGTGTTTGCATGTATATAAGGTTCAGAAACATTAAATTATGTCAACTTTAGGAACTCATTGTTGGATCAGCCACTGCTCCTTCAATGTCAAAAGCTCACATCTATAGAATCAACATTTCCTTCTTGAATCAATCTCAAGCTAATTTTGATAGCTGAAATTCAACTGTTCTTGAATTGGAATAGTTTAATTAGCCATAACCCTTTAATTGCTTAGGGGAATAAGCCTTTTCTATTCTTTTACTAACTAATTGTGTACCGTATTCCATTCACCCTACGGTTGAGAATTAATGATTAGTTGATTCCTTTTGCATCCCTATATGTTTTCTTTTACAAAACTCTAGTCTTGCTTAAGAAAAATGTAAACTTCTAATTGTATATTCTTCATCTATTGATCAACAAAAATGTAACTTTTTCTCTTGTACTAAACTTACTTATTCTTGATGTTTCAGGAAGAGGGATATATATACTCTACGAGGATGTTAAATCTTGCCCTTGTGAAGATGTTCAAGTGCTTTGGTCCATACTAGTGGAGTCTCATCCACATTCTTTGCCACCACGAAAATGAGGGTCTTTACATAAGCACACACAGAGGGGAGATTTAATTTACAGTCACATGTACATATATATCACACCACTTTTGTCCCAACATAGGGTTTCTTTGTTCAAGTTTTCAATCTTTTGTGAGTGAGGTCCATCTGAAAAGTCTTTAAATTATTGAAACTTATGTCTTTCTCTTGATATTGAGTTGTACATTCTTCAAAATGTGGTAAATATTTATAAGTAACTTTTTATGGGGGTTGAGCTAGTGAATAGGGGATTGATAAGAAGGAAGAAAAAGAAATCATACATAATGGAATTGCAATATTAAATGCTCATAAGAGAATCAAAAGTATCTATTCCAAGAGGATAGAAAAGTTATTTTAAAGTAAAGTCTCATTATCTTATTTTCAATTTGTTGCCCTGTCAGTTTCAACAGTTGATGAGTCGACATACTTACTAGTATATTATTAAATAAAGTTGACTTAAGGGCTAAAGTAAGGATGTTATATTGAGATGTGATTGCCATTTCGACATACTTCTTGATACTTTTGACTTAACAATTATAGTCTATTGGCTAAGGACAAGTCTGCAACCACCAAACAGTTTTATCATTAAACAATAAACACATGGTAAACCACACCATTTATTATTCGATTCCAGATTTGATCTCCTTAAAAACAGGCAACTTATATTTACTTCTCCTTTACGTGTGAAACTTAAAAACAGGGCAGTATTACAAATTTTATGATCTTAGTAAATGTCTATGAAACATAATAGAGGATATCTTGCAGAAAATGAAATAAAGATACATCTGAATTCTAACCAGGGAGAGGATGCCCACATTGAAATGACATGCAAATGCACAATTCCATTCCGTGCAGACTCATTTAGGCTTCTTGAGTCCATTTATCTCATCGATACAAACTTTTTTTGTTGTTGTTGTTGAGGAAACGTTTCATCTCTAAAACTTTTCATCTGGCAAATTGATCAATGATAACCTACATAATACTAGAGCAAGTTCAGACACAGATTAACCACAATGAAGAATATAATCTTCAGAAATGAAGACGAAAAATAATCAAAACAATGAAAAGCAGTTTCTTTTCATTTCGGAGGAGTGTGAAAGTAAGATAGTACAATGATTATAACTTTTTGATTAGTGAAAGGTATTTTATTGATGTGCAGCAAAGTGCTGCGAGTGTAGACAGGGGGGATAGCCACATTACAAGAAAATAAGAAACAAGCTCAAAAAATCAATCATGGCTTTTGTGTCATTTGCAATTGCCAAGTTACACCATAAAAAACAAAAGAGAAATGCGTCCATACTTGATGCTAATTACTTATTTCCTCCTGCTTTCAGATATTCTTGAGTTCCCTGCAAATGAATCACAATGATCATAACTTTGTCCTACTTAGTCAAACTTTACGGCAAAATCAAACTCATAGAAACACCAGCTTCAGTAGCCAATTGAATATTATTCTTAAGATAAAAACGGATGATATACAACTAGCCTTAGGGTCACATCAGAATTGGATTTCACTTGGAGGACCAACTTACAGCACTACAAAGCAGAGGAAGGGTAATGATTAACAACACTGGGCAGCCAATTCTGAAAGAATGAAACAGCATCTAGCTCTGCTGGAGACAAGCCGCCAAGGGGTGTGACAGTAATCTGTGATAAATAACAGTGAAAATAACAATCATAGGTCTTTCTCATCGAAGAACTAACAACCATATAAAACAATAGTACATACGTATCCTTGTTGGAGAGAACAGTAGTCTGTATCACCATTCTCCACTAGAATTCTCGTAACCTAGAAAGGGAAGAGTAATATCAATAAATACTCCATTAAAACCTTGTATAAATTACTTTTCTGTTTTTCTTCTTTAACTCTCAAAGAATTAGGAACAAACGAAAATCCAGTATGTCATACAAAAACAGAGTAGAATCTTTCAAAGGGATATTTTAGTGAAGGTTGTCTGGTTATTTTTAATAAGGAACGGTTGCCTGGCTTTCATAAATGCTTGTCTTGTTGTAAAGGGGCCCCATGAGGGGGGCGGGGGGGGCTGTGAGATAAGAATGTTAAAGTGTGTGACCATCTCATCTAAAAGCTTAAGCTGTTAGAGAGAGCACACTTTTATTAGTTAATGATATTCTCAACACCCCCCCTGCCCCCTCACGTGCATGCTTGATTCTTTTTCATGGACCAAGCACGTGGAAATTCTTTTTAATTTGGGTGGCGGTGAGATTCGATCCCAGGACCTCTGCTTGCTCTATTACCATGTTAAAGTGTGTGACCATCTCATCTAAAAGCTTAAGCTGTTAGAGAGAGCACACTTTTATTAGTTAATGATATTCTCAACACCCCCCCTGCCCCCTCACGTGCATGCTTGATTCTTTTTCATGGACCAAGCACGTGGAAATTCTTTTTAATTTGGGTGGCGGTGAGATTCGATCCCAGGACCTCTGCTTGCTCTATTACCATGTTAAAGTGTGTGACCATCTCATCTAAAAATTTAAGTTGTTAGAGAGAGCACACTTTTATTAGTTAATGATATTCTCAATAAAGGATACAACAATTGAGCAAGCACCTATAGTGAAAGGGATCATACTCGTCTCTTAAACAGTAGATGATCCAATGGTGCATTTTTTAAGCCTCTAGCATCTATACTTTCTGATGAATTCGACTCCATAGTCATTGTGGACAAAACGTTTCCTCCTTCTCTTTCAGAAGTAACTTGCCTCCATCCCATTCTCATAAAACTTTTTCCTTGTCGGGTTAGACGGTATCCCTACGAAAACCAAGATAAACCTTTTGATGAAATAGTTAAGGGTCACTGATAACAATTTGTAAAATGAAGAATTCAAGTTTGAAGATCCACCTTTCATCAGAGGGAAACTCAAGTAAAAATAGACAAGCGTTCAAAAGAAAGCTGAGCCAGGCACATTATGATGGCTTGACAGTTGGCAATGTGTGTCTTATAACTTGTAAATCAAACAAGGAAAACCACAATCCTAGGGAAGCTGTTTATTTACAAGTACAATTTAATAGAAATGTATAGCATATAAAGACAACAATGAAGAGACTACTAGTCCATTTTTGTTTATACAGAGGAGACATTTGGTGCAGTTCGTTCAAAACTACCTTGTCCATCCTTAACTACTTCATTTATACAGAGACCGCAGTGACTTGAAATGACTCATCTAGACAAGCTTCAGCTGTCAATAGAAATCTCAATGAAACAAGAGTCTAACAGTGAGTGAATGAAGCAAAAAAATCTGACTGCTGACAAGGCCACAAAGAGATTACATACATGAAAAGAACATCAAGGTGAAGACCAACTTTTACATGGTACTTTGGACAATTATGGAGACAGGAGTAAATCCCAAGATCTACATTTACATTAAAGTTCCCTTTTCTAGGTGATTGTCTATCCTAAACAACAAAATCAAGCTAGCATTAAATTTACCTTGTGATTGACAACATCTGTTGGCACATCAATATTCAGAAAGCAATTCTGGGGATAGTGTTTTGTCTTGATTTCAGCCAATATAGCACTGATGATGGGTAAGCAAGCTTTAGCAGCCAGAGTGAAGTCATTAACATTGCTTTTTCCACGAATCCTGAATTTAGCAATCCCAAGGAATAAGGAACAAGGAATGAAGAACAAAATCAATGATGCACCAAACAATTGTAAAATTTCTGGAGTGTTCATCAATGCATACCAATTATATGATACAGACACAGCAGGAATACCATTGAAGAAAGCCTCCCTAGCGCCAGCCACTGTACCCGAGTATACTCTGAAAGGGCACAAACTAATTCATACATAAGCAACTACAAAATTACATGGTTGTAAATATTAGGAAAGTAGCCATAGTTGCTGCTATTCTGTGGGAATCCCAATATATGTCCTTGTTTGTTCAGAGTTTCTTTTGATGATAACGGCTCCTTTTCAATTCTATGTGATCCGAGGTTTGCTTTTTGACCTTCAGTATTGGAAATGGCGCTGTCTCTATTTATCCTATTGGAAATGGCTCTGTCACTATTTATCCAAGGCAAAGTTTTAACATTTCATGTTAAGACTCAGATTGTAAAATTAAGATGAAGTTTAAGAAGCTATAATTCACTGCAACTTTATTTGATTAAGATACCCTAATCTATTCAGCATTTATATTTTTGGACCAGTCACTGCTCCACCTCAGGTATTAAACTTCATGTCCCGAAGTCAGGTCTGTACCAAAACTCCAAAAGAGCAAAAGAAAGAAAATGACACTATTTCCTATGAGCCATTTAAGTAATCAAACCGAATTCACTCAGCTGATGGAGCCTCGCCATCTAGGACCAGCAATATATTTTATTTGTAAAATTCCTTTACATTTAACATTTTGACTTTACTTGAGTTTCAATCATAAAACTAAATTAACTTGAATAAAGCATTATTCTTCAATTTTACATTTAGGAATCATCTAAAAAGCAACAAAATAATGCAGGCTGACTGTGGATTCCACTTGACCCATATATATATATATATATATGTGTGTGTGATGTGCTCAATTTTTAAAATAATGAAGAGTTATTAGACCAAAGGTGAAAAACCCAAACTTGGAGAACATAGGATAATAAAAGTCATCTTATTTAGAGTTAATACCTCAAAAAAAACCTAAACTATCCACGTTTTGTTATTTTAATACTTAACAATGGTGGGTGTTGTTGTTACCTCCTGAACTTTAACATTTCTTATCTAAGAAACCCTGCAGTGCAAGTGGCATGAAGAGTGGTCTCACTCTCTTTATAGAGTGTGAGAGCTAAATAATAGGTCAAAAAGAGCATCTAGTGAAGGAAATCTACTAACATGTGATAGCCGCAGTTGTCACCCATATTAACACCACTGATAACCTGAAACCATAAATTGAGATTATTGCTAGAGTGTTCTAACCATTAACTTCTAACTATGCAACGTCCCATGGAATTGACACCTAAAGCCTGCATGGATAAATTAGTAATCGAGATATAAAGGAGATAGAAAACTTAAGTATTGGGAATTTGGAAAATCTCCCTGTAAGGTGCCAATAACTGAACTCTAAGATGTCATGATGAGGAAAGGGGAAGCAATAACTTAAAAAGGCATTTTAAAGATACAAGCTAAGGGAAAGAGAGTTCTATGTGTATGTCTGGATGCATATTGCTGATGTTCTTCTTTTTTCCAAAGAGAAATATAATCAGAAGACTTGTGAGTAG